TAGAGTGGGATTCAAATACTCAAACATGGACAATATGAATGGACTGGAGGAAGTTGAACAAGGACGGTGTGGAAATGTTCAGATTCCATCATCGACGTTTCATTGAAAGTCGACACTGCTGAGGAGATGCAGTGTAGTGGACTACATTCCAGTGTCTGCAATGATTTATAGACATATTTGCATGTGTAATACATAATTTGTGTCATATTCTTTCTGTATAAATGTTTTGAAGAATAATGTTTTTTGTTGTTGGGTACATGTGGGGACCTCAGATGTTTTTGTTTTTTCTTTGACGCTTAGGGATATTGGGTCTAGGCAGGGACAGAGAGAATCAACAGGAGGGTCCGATGGGTCGACCAGCCTGAATGTGGAGGGGTTTTTGATGGTATTTTGTTTTCTGAGGCTTTCATGTGTATTCGATTGCATCATAGCTTAAAATGCATTGATAAAGATTTATAAATTGATCTGGAGTACTTAGGTGGTCGCCTGGGGCAGAGGGGCCGTGAGAGAATTTTACTGTCTTGATTGATTGATGGATATTTGGAAAGAAAGCTGCCAGACAGGTTTTTCGCTCTTACACTCCATAACAATTTGTTTACACTTCATAAAAATGTGTTCACACTACATAAACTTGGTTTTATTGCTAAAGTTACACAAGGTGTGTCATAGTCCTATTCTTTTTGTTTTCGAGAATTAATTAGTCTCGAAGGGGGAAAATATGTAGTATCTGAACATTTATAGCTTTGGCTGAGGTTTTCATATTGTTGGTTAAATGAACTTTGCTCTGCTGTGCTGAAACATCTGGAAAGTGTTACTATAGGGGCCCCCTAAAACAGTGGACATGGGGATATGTGGAGGCCAGGGATTGGTCTATTCAAAACACGCCATTTTGTGTTACATAGGATATATACCATGTTTGAACAAAGGGACGAGAGAATAATCATATTTGAGATTGGGTTAGTTGTTCTCCAGATTCTGCAGAAATCTGTAAATTGATGCTGAAATCTTTGATGTAATAAAAGTTATAATCAAGTACAGTGTCACCGGATTCCTTGTCAACACAGCATTGCAGCATTGTCTCGACACCACACAATCTTACTAGCAGCAATATCCTTGCCTGTGAAGCCCTTTTTGTACAAAGCAATGATGACGGCACGTGTTTCCTTGCAGGTAACCATGGTTAACAGAGGAAGAACAATGATTTCAAGCACTACCCTCCTTTTAAAGCTTCCAGTCTGTTATTCTAACTCAATCAGCATGACAGAGTGATCTCCAGCCTTGTCCTCGTCAACACTCTCACCTGTGTTAAGGAGAGAATCACTGATGTCAGCTGTTCCTTTTGTGGCAGGGCTGAAATGCAGTGGAAAAGTTTTTTGGGGATTAAGTTAATTTTCATGGCAAAGAGGGACTTTGCAATTAATTGCAATTCATCTGATCACTCTTCATAACATTCTGGAGATTTTGCAAATTGCCATCATAAAAACTGAGGCAGCAGACTTTGTGAAAATTAATATTTGTGTCATTCTCAAAACTTTTGACCACGACTGTAGACCCACAACAATTATAGGGACATAGGGTTGAATAAATTCGCCATCAAAAGTTTGCAATAGTAAACTCCACATCCAAGAGGAAAACAATTAGCCAGCTAGCAACTCCAGCAACGTTTGCAAGTGCATGAACGTTTATTTGGCTGTAGTCTAATCACCCAACGGTAGACTATGCACATTTGCCTGCGATGCGTGTGTGAATCTGTTTGCTAGCCAGCTAAATTAGCGAGCTTCACTTACCAGTAGACCGAAATGGCTTTCGTGATTATTATTGTCAAAGTTGCGTCAATTCAAATCTGGTATTAGGAACAAAAGAGGTCAACACGACTTCTAAGATATACTAGTTATTTTAATTAATGCAAAAACCTTCAATGGTAAATATGATGTTTCGTATATACGGGCTCTTTGAAATACCTCGCAGGGCACTTCAGAGAACTAATCCATTGTTTCAGATTCAATACTCAAATACTCTGACAGAGAGAGTTTCCCACCTCTCTGCTGGCCAATTAGAGTAGACTTGAGCGTGGTTTAGACTTACTCAGCCAATCCGTTGATGCACCCCTGTTACCAGGCATATGTCCATATCATAACAACCTGTCATAGTGAGAAGTGCCAGCTCCCTTAGACACCATTCCTACGTCCAAGGAAGGTTCACAGATCACAAAGAACCAGTATATTCCAGCATCTGGAGACACAAATCCTTATCTCCCTTTACCCCCTAAAACAGCTCTTCACATCAATCACAGCTTGCCAGGTGTCACAACCTACATTAGCACAGTCCAGAATGCATTCTTTCTAAGTTAGTCATCCCATCAATTATAAAAATAATAAATCTCTCACATTATCCATAGTGTCCAGCATACTGCTGGAAATATTCTCAATCCCTTGCTGAATGAAAATCGCCCACAATTCCAGTTCAATCAGAAGCTCAAACTAGCAACATCAAAACAACTTTGTAACGACAAACCCACCAGTGTTTTCCAATATGATCACTTGCGTATCGTCAGCTGTCGCACAGACAGGCAGACGGACTGACAGCCAGGAGCCAATATTATTAACCGTTAGGACATGCAGTTATCAGCTAAAATGCACGTTTATTCTGGATCACTCAACTTTCCTTTTATGAGTCTTGTTTGTATTGAGAGGGATAGCAACTGTAGCTCAGTTGGTAGAGCATGGCGCTTGCAACGCCAGGGTTGTGGGTTCGTTTCCCACGGGGGGCCAGTATGAAAATGTATGCACTCACTAACTGTAAGTCGCTCTGGATAAGACCGTCTGCTAAATGACTTAAATGTAAAATGGATATAGCTAGATATGTGTTGCTGTAGTCGTGGATGGATCAGAGGGACAGATAAGAAGTGCGCGAGAGAAAGGCCTTTTCGTCATAATTACCTGGAGAAATATGACCTGCAATTTGTAAACACAGCTGCTTTACTTATAATTCATAAAAACTTCATTTGGATCACTTTGAAATTCATCCTTCATCTATACATTTCGAGATATATTTGGGACTTACTGAGTCTGGCTTTAAAATAAAAACTAAGACAATCATATCACAATCTAATTTTATCAGTTGAATACCTTTTTGTATTTAAAAAAATCGGAAATATTGTATTAAAGTATGCAAATGAGGCGATATCTCATTAAATTGTACATATTTGCATATCCCTCAAACCCATTTTTCTGGACACTGGATTAAGTCAGCCTAAATATGCTGTTTTAATTTTGTTAAAACACTCCGGGACAGGACTTACTCAGAGCAGATTGTGGATACATACTTTTTTCATCTTTCTTTCTGTAGAATACTAGAGACATGTACGTTAAATGCATTTTTGGCACATTTTTCGGAATAAAATGTTGTATATAATAAACTGACAACATATCAATAAATCCCTCTGGGCAAGTCTCGAGAATATATCGAAGGATAACCACAAAAAAGTTGGTGAATGCAGATGCTTCTGACGCTGAGGAAAATGTGTTGGTGTGTGGGAAGAGTCTGACTTTCGGGAAATGGCAGTTAAAAACAAAAACACTGAAATTAGACTACCAAACGCCAAACACCTATTTAGAGCTAATCACCATCTCCTCAAAGTAAGATACTACATATAGTCCAGTTTGTTACATTCTCTATGAAATTGGCTTTTAAATTATGTGTAATTGAGCTTTGAAATTATGGATGCATGTCCATTTTAAAGTGTTTAAAATTCATAACATTTTGATAACGCTAGTATGATAAACTAAAGAATATATACATTTTCATCGTGATTGACATTTATGTTTACTTTTTGAAAATACTAATGGACCAAAATACCAACAAATCTCAAAATTGATTGGCAGTTGCAAAAATGTAATTTCAGCCTGTGGTGCCTGGCCTTAAAGGTGCTTCATGTAGAATGTCTCACCCATGTGGAAGCTAGGTGAAATGCAACAACAACTAGGCTGTATTCCAAAGATTTACTGCCAACTGCAGTTATGGAATGCTTCCTTTACAAGTATAATTCATTGGCTGATCCCTCGTGGTGACCTGGATGGAATTATGTGATCCTTCCTTAACCCATACATTTATACATTTTGGTCATTGAGCAGATGCTCTTATCCAGAGTGACTTACAAGAGCAATTAGGGTTAAGTGCCTTGCTCAAGGGCATAGACAGATTTTTCACCTATTCGGCTTGGGGAGTCGAACCAGCGACCATTCAGTTACTGGCCCAGCGCTCTTAACCGCTAGGCTACCAGTCGCCCATAGGAAGTCCTCAATGGCGCTGCCCATGCTGAAACAGGCTTTTGGGGACTACGGTCCTCTATCTATCGCTATGGGACAACTCATTCTAGTGCCAGGGGATGTTTCCTGCTCTTAGTCTTGAGTCATATTCACTAGGAACGAATCAGAAGCAAACAGGCCAAAATGAGGAGGTATTACCTGAACTTGTGGAAGTTCAATCTATACATTTAAAAACAGGGAACTCCCAATCTAGCTGCTACATAAAATCACAGAGAATTACATTAATTAAAGTGCAAAATACATAAAATCACAGAGAATTACATTAATTAAAGTGCAAAATAAACACATTTGTTGAGCTGCATTTAAACAAATAATTATTTTTTTGTAAACATTTAGAAAACAATCAAGGGCTGCATTATAATAATAATTTGGTGGGTGCTTATATTTTTTACATATCTCAACTCCCCCTGAGACACCCCCAGATTGTGGGGTCATGGCAAAGGTCTGCCATTATCAACGGCGACCCTGGAGCAATTAGGGTTAAGTGCCTTGCTCAAGGGCACATTGAAAGATTTATCACCTTGTTGGCTCAGGGATTTGAACTAGCGACCTTTCAGTTACTGGCCAAACGCTCTAACCTCTAGGCTACGTGCAGCATTGTTACAATGCCTTTGCATTGATCTGTGCAAAACTAAACTATTATTGGCTGCCATCTAGAGACTGTGTGTGTTACAGCTGAGCTGTGGTAGCCAGATGTAGCATCTCATGTAGGGAGGTAACCAGGTTCTGGAACAGTGTCTCTGCATCCGTCTCTGGACTGGACTTCCACGCCGAACAGGAAGCCACGATCCTGAAACAGGATGTACAAGTCAGACACCAGAAGCTTCAAGAGGTTAACACAATCAGGCCATCATAGAGAGGACAGATGTACTAACGACAAACTACAAATTCTACTAACTACATGTTAGACCAAATAGCAGAAATAACAACTGTTCAAAATCAAATTGAATCAAAGTTTAGCAGATGTAATAGCGGGTGCAGTGATATGCTTTTGTTACTAGCTCCTAACAATGCAATAAAATGTCAAACAAGTCCACGATAATCATTGTCCAGGTCTTGTGTGTGTGTTTGGGTGTGTTAGCCCACCTGTCATCTCTGATGCAGTAGAAGAACCCATAGCCATTGTGCACCATGGGAGCGCCCACCCCATGAACTGTGGTGTAGCCAGCCAGACTGGTGGACAGGGTAAAGTTACCGCCCCCGCCACTGGAGAGAGAACACACACACATTACACACACCATAAACACACACACACACACACACACACACACACACAAACCTCTTGGAATACAGTGGATCAATGAAAAGGTCTGGCATAGGAAGTCCCTCCTCCTTGGCGATCAGGTACAGGCCCAGGAGATGTCTGTCAAAACCTTTTCCGTTCTGTGCCTCGGCCATCAGTTTGTTGTGCTTGTTGAAGGCCAGCAGCAGGGCTTTCCTCTTAGCCTCAGCCTGGGAGACACACAGAAAGTCAGAGTGTGAGTAGCCTGGTCGCCAGATTTACATGTATGGCATGACAATGAATGAAGAACTAACTGGTTTATTGGACACACAAACTCTCACACTTACGCTGGCTGCAGGGTTGAGCATGATGCGGCACCAGTTCTGAGCTTCCAGGGTACAGGGCCTCATGGTCTCAGTCCTGCCGTGGTAGAACCTTCTGGTCATCGCTGTCTCATAGCAACTACCTGACCTGGGACGGGGGATTATCATCAATCATCAATCATCAGTTATGGAGAGAATATTGGGGGGGAAGGATGGATGAATGGATGGGTGGGTGGATGTTGGGTGTGTGATGGATGGATGAATTGGATGGATGATGGGTGGTGTTACCTCCCATGCTGTCTGTAATAAGCCAGTTGAAGGGCCAGTTGTATGAAGGTGTCTGGGTGGAGCTTCCTCTGTTTGATAGCTGCTTTCCCAAACGAGGTGAAGGCATAACACACCACCTGCAAGTCCTGGGTCTGGAGACACACACACAGGTCTGTCAAACCAGATATCACACACAGGTCTGTCAAACCAGATATCACACACAGGTCTGTCAAACCAGATATCACACACAGGTCTGTCAAACCAGATATCACACACAGGTCTGTCAAACCAGATATCACACACAGGTCTGTCAAACCAGGTATCACACACAGGTCTGTCAAACCAGGTATCACACACAGGTCTGTCAAACCAGGTATCACACACAGGTCTGTCAAACCAGGTATCACACACAGGTCTGTCAAACCAGGTATCACACACAGGTCTGTCAAACCAGATATCACACACAGGTCTGTCAAACCAGATATCACACACAGGTCTGTCAAACCAGATATCACACACAGGTCTGTCAAACCAGATATCACACACAGGTCTGTCAAACCAGATATCACACACAGGTCTGTCAAACCAGATATCACACACAGGTCTGTCAAACCAGATATCACACACAGGTCTGTCAAACCAGATATCACACACAGATTACAGTTGTGTGTGTGAGGTGGGGAGTGTAAGGACTTGTGAGGGTGTGTGTTAGACAGCTGCGGCCCAGACAGAGAATTCACGGTCTGCATTTCTCATGCTGCTGGCGGTCAGACAAACAACTTTGGGATGATTTTTTTTGGGGGACCCACAGATTATTTCGAATGGTTGTCTTTCTGTTTAAAAGCTCCTCTTTGTCAGACTATTCACTAACCTGTTTCTTAGGCAATGTTTTGCACATTTTGATCTTGCCTAGGGTGGCAGAATTGCCTAGGGTGGCAGAATTGCCTAGGGTGGCAGAATTGCATAACATACACTTAAAATAACATTGGGGACTGTAGGCGTGTTCGGGACCAGTTCTTGAGGGAGCGGATGGGAGTCGGACAAGAAGACAGTCCTGCGCAGACTTCTGTTTGTGCGCAATCAACACAACACCTGCGGTGGTCTAATCTGACCACCAGGGGGAAGCAGAGAAATGAATGGAAGATGTGTGTGTGTGTGTGTTTGTGGACTCACAGTCTCAAAGTACTGTTGCTTGGCATGTGCAATGTCACTCCTGACTCTGTCATCAACAGTGAAGACCAACTCTTCAGGAAGAGGCATAGGCCGCACTGTCTCAGAGCCCTACACAGATACACACAATAAAAAGATACTGTTTGCTTACAGTGAAAGTAAGGAACTTGGAATTAAGGACAAACAAGATCCTCAGTCACTGTCAGAGAATAAGTTCAATATAAACTGTATTTACCTTCCACTTGCCTTCTGTAGCTTTGAGCTGCTGATCCACATAGTAACACTGAGTTACCAGAACCATGCCTTCAAATGGGGCATGCTGCAACACACACACAAAGCAGCAATTACCATAGATAGAAGCACGCTCACAACAAAACATCATTACATTACTGCCAACAGAGGAGTATTGTTATCTCAAACCTCTCTCTCTCTCTCAACACAAACACAAACACACACAGTAACTCACGTCACAGTTGGATCCGAAGGTTCCGTCGGCGAAGGAGATGGAGTTGTAGGATTTGTCTCCCCAGCGGATGGTGGGGTCTCCTATCAGCACCTCCAGGGACACCTGGGGGCAAAGACCAAAGGTCATATTATACCACACTTAGGATGGTATGGTTGCCTGTGGTGTGTGTGTGTGTGTTGTAGGGGCCGACCGGGATACAAGACTACGACCCAGATGTCATATCCTCACATATCTTTACTTACAATCAAAACAATCAAAACACGTGTAACCTGCTTAATTGCTTACACATAACTTAAAAAGATCTCACTCTGTACCGGACAACATCACAAAGCGGCAAAAGTCTCACTGCTCTCATTGTTTAACTGAAAGTTTGCTTTTTAGCCTCTGGTGCTACTATCCTTTGCATTTTACTTTGACCGCATCCTGGACTCCAGTCTGCTCTTTTACCTTTACAAAGTCAACTTGCTATTGCAAATGTACGTCTACAGTGTGTGAGAGGTTGTGTGTGTGTGTTTGTACGTACCGGTGTGTAGTTCTCTGCAGTAGCGTAGGGTTTAGCATCGTCCAGTGAGACCACAAACAGACTGCTCTGGATGGTCTCTAAGAGGGTCTTATTGGCTGGATCTATACCTATCAGATACTCCCTGGCCTACAGAGAGACAGAGAGAGACAGAGACTGAATAGAGTCGCTAGAGAGTTAGTGGATAGAGCAGAGAGAGAGAGACAGACGAGAGAGAGAGAGAAGAGAGAGACGAGACAGAGAGACGACGAGAGAGAGACGGACGAGAGAGAGACAGAGACAGACGAAGAGAGAGAGATAGGACGAGAGAGAGAGAGAGAGAGGAGAGAGAGATAGAAAGAAGAGACGAGAGAGAGAGAGAGAGACAGACGAGAGAGAGAAGAGAGAGGAGAGAGGTCGATGAGATGAGAGACAGACGAGAGAGAAAGAGAGAGAGAGAGAGAAGAGAGAAAGGAGAGAGAGAGAGAGATAGAGAGAAGAGAGAAAGAGAGAGACGAGAGAAGAGACTAGAGAGAGAGAGAAGACGAGTAGAGAGAAGAGAAAGACGAAGAAGAGAGAGAGAGAGAGAACTGAGAGAGAGAACGGACGTAGAGAGAGACAGACGAGAGATAGATAGAGAGAGATATAGAGATTTACGAGAAGAGACAGACAGAGAGGAGAGAGAGAGACAGACAGAGAGAGAGAGAGAGAGACGAGAGAGAGAGAGAGAGAGAGAAAGACGGACGAGAGAGAGTCAGACGAGAGAGAGAGAGAGAGAGAGAGAGAGAGAGAGAGACGTTTTATGGCATGGTGATGTCCGTTCTATACATCCAACTTCACACACACACCTTAGCCCAGCGTGTCCTCTCCTCTGAGGTGAGAGCGGCGACTCCATCTCCCGCTGGCTCCCCCTCACAACACTGCTTCACATTGGTCAGCTGCCTACACACGCACCGGCCGCACACACACACAAAAAGGCATATAAATACATGCAAATATATGCAGATGCACACAAATATACCTAAATATCCACCGGCCAGCATACCTGAGCAGCTCTGGAGGGGTAAGAATATGACCGTCACACACTGCATCAAATGAGAAGAAACGGCCCTTACACATCACCACCACATGGGAGGGGCATGGACCCTCGCTCTCTACAACCCACAGAAAAAACACATCAATAAATATACACACAAAATTAATCAGTACACACACACACACACACACACACACACACACACACACATACAGTTGAAGTCGGAAGTTTACATACACCTTAGCCAAATACATTTAAACTCAGTTTTTCACAATTCCTGACATTTAATCCTAGTAAAAGTTCCCTGTTTTAGGTAAGTTAGTTAAGTGTGCCTTGAATTCTAAATAAAGCACCCCCACACCATCACACCTACTCCTCCATGCTTCACGTGGGAACCACACATGCGGAGATCATCCATTCACCTACTCTGTGTCTCACAAAGACACAGCAGTTGGAACCAAAAATCTCAAATTTGGACTCATCAGATCAAAGGACAGATTTCCATCGGTCTAATGTCCATTGCTCATGTTTCTTGACCCAAGCAAGTCTCTTCTTCTTATTGGTGTCCTTTAGTAGTGGTTTCTTTGCAGCAATTCCACCGTGAAGGCCTGATTCACGCAGTCTCCTCTGAACAGTTGATGTTGAGATGTGTCTTGAACTCTGTGAAGCATTTATTTGGACTGCAATCGGAGGTGCAGTTAACTCTAATGAACTTATCCTCTGCAGCAGAGGTAACTCTGGGTTTTCCTTTCCTGTGGCGGTCCTCATGAGAGCCAGTTTCATCATAGCGCTTGATGATTTTGGGACTGCACATGAAGAAACTTTCAAAGTTCTTGACATTTTGGAATTGACTGACCTTCATGTCTTAAAGTAATGATGGACTGTCGTTTCTCTTTGCTTATTTGAGCTGTTCTTGCCATAATATTGACTTGGTCTTTTACCAAATAGGGCTATCTTCTGTATACCACTCCTACCTTGTCACAACACAACTGATTGGCTCAAACGCATTAAAAAAGGAAATACATTCTGGCATCATATTGCATAGGGGTGTGTGTGTGTGTGTGGGGGGGGGGGGGGGGGGGGTTACCTACCTGTCTTAAAGTAGTTGATGATGGTATCCTTGGTGACTCCAGGAACTTTGCATGTACAGAACAGCATTCTGAACTGGTCCATATCCAACGCCACAATACCATTCTTATGAGGGTCCAGCCTCTCCCTGTCGGAGATAACACAGTCAGAGAGTGTGTGTACTGAACGTACGTAGGTGTGTGTGTGTGTGTCTTACGTGCGGAGCAGGTCCCAGTACTGTAGAGTGTGCCACATGCTTACGCTGGTCCTCTGTAGCTGTACTCCCTCTGTAGGGGGCCAGCAGTGCTCTAGGTAGGGTGCAGGACCTCCGAAGTTCACATTCAACTGGGAGGGGTAACGCAATTCCAGATAGGCTGCATCCAGCCACCACTCCTCCAACTGGGGGTCAACACACAAACAATAAAGATGAAACACTGCAGGGGAACACCGTAATGACTAGTATTTAAAAACACTCAAAGTTTCCCTTTTGCAGTTGCTCAGGGTCGAGCATGGTGTGTGCCCAGTTCTCCCAGGTTCTAGCTGTGCAGTGTGTTGTGTGTGTGTGTGTGTTGAGTGTGTGTACCCAGTTCCTGTGTGTCCTGGCTCTCTGCAGTAGTTTTTGGTGCAGGTCTTTGCCGATGCCCTCTCCAAACCTCTTCAATATGGCCGCAGTCACCTGGTACTCCTCCTCTGTAGCAAACGGCCGCACTGGAACATACACACAGACATTTCAGTTACTCGACAAACACACATGGTTCAGGGTCCATGCTAACGGAGCTTCTCGTTCACACATGCAGCTGGCATCTCACCTGCATCCAGGTACTTGGCGAGGCTACCCTCTAGAGACGGTACAGGGAGAGGAGGCAGTCTATGCTGGTACTGAAATGTCTGCTCAGCGGGGGACTCTGACACCTGGTTGGCCATGTCACCTACAGCACCAAAACACCTGGTTAGCCATGTTGTCACATACAGCACCAAAACACCTGGTTAGCCATGTTGTCACATACAGCACCAAAACACCTGGTTGGCCATGTTGTCACCTACAGCACCAAAACACCTGGTTAGCCATGTTGTCACATACAGCACCAAAACACCTGGTTAGCCATGTTGTCACATACAGCACCAAAACACCTGGTTGGCCATGTCACCTACAGCACCAAAACACCTGGTTAGCCATGTTGTCACATACAGCACCAAAACACCTGGTTGGCCATGTCACCTACAGCACCAAAACACCTGGTTAGCCATGTTGTCACATACAGCACCAAAACACCTGGTTGGCCATGTCACCTACAGCACCAAAACACCTGGTTAGCCATGTTGTCACATACAGCACCAAAACACCTGGTTGGCCATGTTGTCACATACAGCACCAAAACACCTGGTTGGCCATGTTGTCACATACAGCACCAAAACACCTGGTTGGCCATGTTGTCACCTACAGCACCAAAACACCAGGTTAGCCATGTTGTCACATACAGCACCAAAACACCTGGTTGGCCATGTTGTCACATACAGCACCAAAATACCTGGTTGGCCATGGTGTCACCTACAGCACCAAAACACCTGGTTGGCCATGTTGTCACCTACAGCACCAAAACACCAGGTTAGCCATGTTGTCACATACAGCACCAAAACACCTGGTGGGCCATGTGGTCACCTACAGCACCAAAACACCTGGTTGGCCATGTTGTCACCTACAGCACCAAAACACCTGGTTAGCCATGTTGTCACATACAGCACCAAAACACCTGGTTAACCATGTTGTCACATACAGCACCAAAACACCTGGTTGGCCATGTTGTCACATACAGCACCAAAACACCTGGTTGGCCATGTTGTCATCTACAGCACCAAAACACCTGGTTAGCCATGTTGTCACATACAGCACCAAAACACCTGGTTAGCCATGTTGTCACATACAGCACCAAAACACCTGGTTGGCCATGGTGTCACCTACAGCACCAAAACACCTGGTTAGCCATGTTGTCACATACAGCACCAAAACACCTGGTTGGCCATGTTGTCACCTACAGCACCAAAACACCTGGTTAGCCATGTTGTCACATACAGCACCAAAACACCTGGTTGGCCATGTTGTCACATACAGCACCAAAACACCTGGTTAGCCATGTGGTGACCTACAGCATCAAAACACCTGGGGCCTCATTTATCAATGTGTAGGCACAAATCTGTGCGTAAAACCATGTGTGGGATCAGGAAGTCCAGGATCCAGTTGCAGAGGGAGGTGTTCAGACCCAGCTCAATGTAACATTGAAAGGTTTGGGCTACTACATGATACTCACATTTTTCCTGTACCCATCATGAGGTTGCTACAACCTAGCCTATGAATGAAAGTTTACAACGTAGGTGCACAGGTCGAGAGAATTGAGTAATCAAGGTGACAGACAGTGACACATTCAATACTGCCTTGCTAACTCTTGCCTGCATTTAACTGATCTAGGGCGTAATCATTAGTCCAACAGTTGCAAATGAGAGTTTTTATTGAACAAACTCAGGAATTTGTTTATCCCCGTTTCGTTCCGTTTTCTTCCGTTTAAGATTATTATTTTTTTCCACAGAATCGGCGGAATGAATACACCCCTGATCACACGCAAACACAGTTCACTTTCATAGCCACATAAAAACTGCATGATCACTTTGCTCGTTGTGTATATATATATATATATATATATAGTTGAAGTCGGAAGTTTACATACACCTTAGCCAAATACATTTAAACTCAGTTTTTCACAATTCCTGACATTTAATCCTAGTAAAAATTCCCTGTCTTAGGTCAGTTAGGAACACCACTTTATTTTAAGAATGTGAAATCTCAGAATAATAGTAGAGAGAATTATTTATTTCAGGGCTTTGTGATGGCCACTCCAATACCTTGACTTTGTTGTCCTTAAGCCATTTTGTCACAACTTTGCAAGTATGCTTGGGGTCATTGTCCATTTGAAAGACCCATTTGCGACCAAGCTTTAACTTCCTGACTGATGTCTTGAGATGTTGCTTCAATATATCCACATAATTTTCCTTCCTCATGATGCCATCTATTTTGTGAAGTGCACCAGTCCCTCCTGCAGCAAAGCACCCTCACAGCATGATGCTGCCACCGCCATGCTTCACGGTTGGGATGGTGTTCTTCGGCTTGCAAGCAACCCCTTTTTCCTCCAAACATAACGATGGTCATTATGGCCAAACAGTTCTATTTTTGTTTCATTAGACCAGAGGACATTTCTCCAAAAAGTACGATCTTTGTCCCCATGTGCAGTTGCAAACCGTAGTCTGGATTTTTTATGGCGGTTTTGGAGCAGTGGCTTCTTCCTTGCTGAGCGGCCTTTCAGGTTATGTCGATATAGGACTCGTTTTACTGTGGATATAGATACTTTTGTACCTGTTTCCTCCAGCATCTTTCCAAGGTCTTTTGCTGTTGTTATGGGATTGATTTGCACTTTTTGCACCAAAGTACGTTCATCTCTAGGAGACAAAACGCGTCTCCTTCCTGAGCGGTATGATGGCTGTGTGGTCCCATGGTGGTTGTACTTGCGTACTATTGTTTGTACAGATGAACGTGGTAACTTCAGGCATTTGGAAATTGCTCCCAAGGATGAACCAGACTTGTGGAGGTCTACAATTCTTTTTCTGAGGTCTTGGCTGATTTCTTTTGATTTTCCCATGATGTCAAGCAAAGAGGCACTGAGTTTGAAGGTAGGCCTTGAAATACATCCACAGGTACACCTCCAATTCACTCAAATGATGTCAATTAGCCTATCAGAAGCTTCTAAAGCCATGACATCATTTTCTGGAATTTTCCAAGCTGTTTAAAGGCACAGTCAACTTAGTGTATGTAAACTTCTGACCCACTGGAATTGTGATAAAGTGAATTATAAATGAAATAATCTGTCTGTAAACAATTGTTGGAAAAATTACTTGTGTCATGCACAAAGTAGATGTCCTAACCGACTTGCCAAAACGATAGTTTGTTAACAAGAAATTTGTGGAGTGGTTGAAAAACGAGTTTTAATGACTCCAACCTAAGTGTATGTAAACTTCCGACTTCAACTGTATACATACAGTGGGGAAAAAAAGTATTTAGTCAGCCACCAATTGTGCAAGTTCTCCCACTTAAAAAGATGAGAGAGGCCTGTAATTTTCATCATAGGTACATGTCAACTATGACAGACAAAATGAGAAAATAAATTCCAGAAAATCACATTGTAGGATTTTTTATGAATTTATTTGCAAATTATGGTGGAAAATAAGTATTTGGTCAATAACAAAAGTTTCTCAATACTTTGTTATATACCCCTTGTTGGCAATGACACAGGTCAAACGTTTTCTGTAAGTCTTCACAAGGTTTTCACACACTGTTGCTGGTATTTTGGCCCATTCCTCCATGCAGATCTCCTCTAGAGCAGTGATGTTTTGGGGCTGTCGCTGGGCAACACGGACTTTCAACTCCCTCCAAAGATTTTCTATGGGGTTGAGATCTGGAGACTGGCTAGGCCACTCCAGGACCTTGAAATGCTTCTTACGAAGCCACTCCTTCGTTGCCCGGGAGGTGTGTTTGGGATCATTGTCATGCTAAAAGACCCAGCCACGTTTCATCTTCAATGCCCTTGCTGATGGAAGGAGGTTTTCACTCAAAATCTCACGATACATGGCCCCATTCATTCTTTCCTTTACACGGATCAGTCGTCCTGGTCCCTTTGCAGAAAAACAGCCCCAAAGCATGAAGTTTCCACCCCCATGCTTCACAGTAGGTATGGTGTTCTTTGGATGCAACTCAGCATTCTTTGTCCTCCAAACACGATGAGTTGAGTTTTTACCAAAAAGTTATATTTTGGTTTCATCTGACCATATGACATTCTCCCAATCCTCTTCTGGATCATCCAAATGCACTCTAGCAAACTTCAGACGGGCCTGGACATGTACTGGCTTAAGCAGGGGGACACGTCTGGCAATGCAGGATTTGAGTCCCTGGCGGAGTAGTGTGTTACTGATGATAGGCTTTGTTACTTTGGTCCCAGCTCTCTGCAGGTCATTCACTAGGTCCCCCCATGTGGTTCTGGGATTTTTGCTCACCGTTCTTGTGATCATTTTGACCCCACGGGGTGAGATCTTGCGTGGAGCCCCAGATCGAGGGAGATTATCAGTGGTCTTGTATGTCTTCCATTTCCTAATAATTGCTCCCACAGTTGATTTCTTCAAACCAAGCTGCTTACCTATTGAAGATTCAGTCTTCCCAGCCTGGTGCAGGTCTACAATTTTGTTTCTGGTGTCCTTTGACAGCTCTTTGGTCTTGACCATAGTGGAGTTTGGAGTGTGACTGTTTGAGGTTGTGGACAGGTGTCTTTTATACTGATAACAAGTTCAAACAGGTGCCATTAATACAGGTAACGAGTGGAGGACAGAGGAGCCTCTTAAAGAAGAAGTTACAGGTCTGTGAGAGCCAGCAATCTTGCTTGTTTGTAGGTGACCAAATACTTATTTTCCACCATAATTTGCAAATAAATTCATTAAAAATCCTACAATGTGATTTTCTGGATTTTTTTTTCTCAATTTGTCTGTCATAGTTGACGTGTACCTATGATGAAAATGACAGGCCTCTCTCATCTTTTTAAGTGGGAGAACTTGCACAATTGGTGGCTGACTAAATACTTTTTTTCCCCACTGTATATATATATATATATATATATATATATACACACATACACACACTACCAGTCAAAGGTTTGGATACACATACACACACTACCAGTCAAAGGTTTGGACACACCTACTCATTGAAGGGTTTTCTTTATTTTTACTATTCTTTACATTGTAGAATACTGTGGGCTCTCGTTCTCCGTGGCCGACGTGAGTAAGACATTTAAGCATATTAATCCTCGCAAGGCTGCCGGCCCAGACGGCATCCCTAGCCCCGTCCTCAGAACATGTGCAGACCAGCTGGCTGGAGTGTTTACATACATATTCAATTTCTCCCTATCCCAGTCCGCTGTCCCCACTTGCTTCAAAGATGTCCACCATTGTTCCTGTACCCAAGAAAGCAAAAGGTAACTGAACTAAATGACTATCGCTCCGTAGCACCCACTTCTGTCATCATTAAGTGCTTTGAGAGGCTAGTTAAGGATCATATCACCTCTCTCTTACCTGACACCCTAGACCCACTTCAATTTGCTTATCGCCCCAATAGAGCCACAGACGATGCAATCGCCATTGCACTGCACACTGCCCTATCCCATCTGGACAAGAGGAATACCTACGTCAGAATGCTGTTCATTGACTATAGCTCAGCCTTCAACACCATAGTACCCTCCAACCTCATCATTAAGCTTGGGCCCTGGGTCTGAACCCCGCCCTGTGCAACTGGGTCCTGGACTTCCTGACAGGCCGCCCCAAGGTGGTGAAGGTAGGAAACACTTCTACTTCGCTGATCCTCAACACAGGGGCCCCACAAGGGTGCGTGCTCAGCCCCCTCATGTACTCCCTACTCACCCATGACTGCGTGGCCACACACGCCTCCAACTCAATCATCAAGTTTGCAGACAACACAACAGTAGTAGGCCTGATTACCAACAATGATGAGACAGCCTACAGGGAGGAGGTGAGGGCCCTGGCAGAGTGGGGCCAGGAAAATAACCTCTCCTTCAACGTCAACAAAACGAAGGAGCTGATCGTGGACTTCAGGAAACAGCAGAGGGAGCACGCCCCCATCCACATCGACGAGACCGCAGTGGAGACGGTGGAAAGCTTCAAGTTCCTTGGCGTGCACATCACTGACAATCTGAAATGGTCTACCCACACAGACAGTGTGGTGAAGAAGGCGCAACTGCGCCTCTTCAACCTCAGGAGGTGGAAGAAATTCGGCTTGGCCCCTAAGACCCTCAAACTTTTACAGATGCACAATTGAGAGCTTCCTGTCGGGCTGTATCACCACCTGGTACGGCAACTGCACCGCCCGCAACCGCAGGGCTCTCAAGAGGATGGTACGGTCTGCCCAACGCATCAGCTTGGGGCACACTGCCTGCCCTCCAGGACACCTACAGCACCCGATGTCACAGGAACCACCCGAGCCACGGCCTGTTTACCCCGCTATCATCCAGAAGGCGAGGTCAGTACAGGTGCATCAAAGCTGGGACCGAGAGAATGAAAAACAGCTTCTATCTCAAGGTCATGAGACTGTTAAATAGCCATCACTAGCTGGCTACCACTCGGTTACTCAACCCTGCACCTTAGAGGCTGCTGCCCTATATACATAGACATGGAATCACTGGCCACTTTAAATAATGGAACACTAGTCACTTTAATAATGTTTACATACTGATTTACTCATCTCATATCTATATACTGTATTTTATTCTACTGTATTTAGTCAATGCCACTCCGACATTGCTCGTCCTAATATTTATATATTTCTTAATTCCATTTCTTTACTTTTAGATGTGTGTATTGTTAGATACTACTGCACTGTCGGAGCTAGGAACACAAGCATTCCGCTACACCCGCAATAACATCTGCTAAATATGTGTATGTGACCAATAAAATGTTATTTGATATAAATAATCTGGCTACATAACCATATGATCAAACATAGTTAGCTAGCCAGTTCTGCTTTCTGCAGAAACAAGTACACTAACAGGCTCTTGTATTGCTTTCACCCTTCAGAAAGTATTCATACCCCTTAACTTATTCCACATTTTGTTACAGCCTAAATTCAAAATGGATTAAATATGTTTTACCCATTTACACACACACACACACACACAATACCCCATAATGACAAAGTGAAAACATGTTTTTAGAATTTGCAAATTTATTGAAAAAGGAATACAGAAATCTAATTTAAGTAAGTATTCACACCCCTTTGCTATGACACTCCAAATCACCTCAGGTGCATCCAATTTCCTTTGCTCATCCTTGAGTCCACCTGTGGCCATTTCAATTGTTTGGACCTGATTTAGAAAGAAACACACCGGTTTATATAAGGTCCCACAGTTGACAGTGCATGTCAGAGTAGAAACTATACCATGAAGTCCAAGGAACTGTCTGTACATCTCCGAGATAGAATTGTGATGAGGCATATATCTGGGGAAGGGTATAAAACTATTTCTAGAGTGTTGAAAGTTTCCAAGAGCACAGTGGTCTCCATCATTGGGAAATGGAAAACATTTGGAACTACCCAGACTCTGCCTAAACTGACCGTTCGACCAAACTAAGCAACCAGGCAAGAATGACAACTGACAGAACTAGAGTTCCTTGGCTGAGATGGGAGAACCTGCCAGAAAGCACAAGAGTCTCTACAACACTTCACCAATCTGGGCTTTATGGGAGAGTGGCCAGACTGAAGCCACTCCTGATTAAAAAAGGCACATGACAGCAGGCCTGGAGTTTGCAAAAAGGCATGTAAAAGACAGAGCATAGATCAAACTATTCTCTAGTCTGATGAGATAAAAATGTAACTCTTTGGCCTGATTGCAAAGCGCTATGTCTGGAGAACCAGGCACAGCTAGCTCATCACCCGTCTAACATCATCCCTACTGTGAAGCATTGTGGTGGCAGCATCATGCTATGGGAATGCTTTTCAGCGGCAGGGACCGAGAGACTGGTGAAGACAGATTGAACAATGAATGGAGCCAAATCCTTGACGAGAACCTGCTTCAGAGTGCAAACTACCTTAGACTGGGGCGAAGATTTACGTTCCAACAGGACAATGACCCCAAACATACAGCCAAAGCAATGCTGGAATGGCTTCAGAACAAGAATGTTAAAGTCCTTGAGGGGCCAGCCAAATCCCAGACTTTAATCCCATTGAAAATCTGTGGAAAGACTGAAATTGCTGCTCAAAGCCACTCCCAATCTAGTTTGAGAAATTCTGCAAGGATGAATGGGAGAAAATACCCAAATCCAGATGTGCAAAGCTGATACTGCCATGGGGGTGAATACTTATGTAAATTAGGTCTGTATTTCATTTTCAATAAATCTGCAAAGAATTATAAAAACACTTTCACTTTGTCATTGGGGTATTGTGTGTGTAGATGGGTGAGAATATTTAAAACATTCAGGCTGCAACACAACAAAATGTGGAATAAATTAAGAGGTATGAATACTTTCTGAAGGCAATTTTGGTCAGATTCAGTTTGCAGTCCGACCGAAGCGCGGTTTCTTAATCCCACAAACATGACAAGCAAATTTACCTTAGTATTTTGCGAATTCCGATATGTCTTCCATGCAAAATAAAAATTATGTTGCGGATATTATCTACACTGCGGAAGAAGGCGACAGTACTGTTATGTTGTCCATCTCGTGGTGTATGTAGCACTTCTCGTCACCTTTCCCCCAGTAAACAGACTGCCAAGACCCGGAAAAGAGGACACTGCGCATGCGTTAAATGGTGAATTTATTACACTTTACCGGACTTTGCTTATTCATTCTTCCATGGATATCTAACTCCGACTGAGATTCGTCTTATAACATCAATTATATTTTTTATCTTTACATTAATGAAATATTATATTTAATCATTATTAAAGTGTTAAACTGAGGTGCAGTACTGCCGAGGCCCAAATGTTGCTCGTACCTGGGTTGCAAAATCAGATCCTGGTGCATTCAATATTAGATCCTTGTGCATGACCTGCCATTACAGTGTATATGAAACATCACACAAACTAGGTGTGATCAGTGATGATCATGACACCGTACAGAAACAGCATTTTAACGTTACACATTTAATGTACAATGGGTTGTACCATAACTGCGTATAGTAAAAAAATATATATATATATAAAACCTCAAGGACGAGTTTCCCAGACAGATTATGCCTAGTCCTGCAATGAAAAGCATGTCCATTGAACTGCATTTTAGTCCAGGACTAGGTTCTGGCAAGCCGGAACAATTCAAAGGTCAAAGACAGAACATGAGGATAACTCATAGGAAGAATCTCAATTGCATACTCCTCACGTCCTCTCGCCTCGCCTCCTTCTCAAAACCCATTGGATGAGAAAGCCTGAAGTCCCATCCCACTGACCTTCTCCTCCAATGGGTTTTGAGAAGGTGCGAGGACGGAGGTGTATGCAATTGAGATTCTCCCATAGTCTTAGCTGGACATATCATCATTGTCTGTCCCATTATGGCGTCTGTGAGAGCATTGGTAGCGTCAATGAGGCCATCTACATTTTGATGTAGTCCACTTTCTTCTTCTACTACTTCTATGAGTTGACAAACAAACTGGAAGGGTGCACACTGCTAGTCTGGGTACCAGTCTTTTTAGCTAACATTCCACTCCTTGCTACTCCTGTCATTTGCCAAAGAGACTGGCTTTTTGGAAATCTCAACGTTCAATAGAGAGCAATAGTAATGTCGTATTTTTGTAGGCACTAACGGAGGCCAACTGCCTATTGGGAAAGGAATGGGGGTTTGAGGGTTTTTGGATAAACACACCAAAAATAAGGTCTGACACCATACAGAGTACAAAAACAGCATGATTTTAAGGCAACATTACACATTTAATGAACAATGGGTTTTACCAGAACTGTGTTTTAGTAAAATATATATATATAAAGCCTAAAGGAAAGGTTTCCCCAGACACAGATTATGCCTAGTCCTGCAATTGAAAGCATATCCATTGAACTGCATTTTAGTCCAGGATTAGGTTTCAATCAGGTTCTGGGAATCCAGAACAGTTCAAAGTTCAAAGACAGAACATGAGGATAACTAATTCTAGTGCCAGGAGATGTTTCCTGCTCTTAGTCTTGAGTCATATTCACTAGGAACAAATCAGAAGCATACGGGCCAAAATGGTGAGGCAGTACCTGAACTTGCCCAATAACAAACGCTTGTTTTCATTATTGGTTACAAAACGTTTTGCTACGGTGTGCACTAATGAATACAACCTTTGTCTCTCTGTCCACCCAGCTCTCCAACAGCAGTGCCTTCAACTAGTCTGTCCTGTAGGCCTCTGCTAGTGACTACCTCCTCTTCCTCTCCCCCCTCCTCTTCCTCTCCCTTTACTACTCCCCATCATCTTCTCCTCCTCTGGGTCACTCTCTCGCTGCCTCTCCTCCTCTTCCTCCTCCTCCTCCTCCTCAGGATCATCATTGCACTGGCGCTTCCTCTTCCTCTGTTTCTCCTCCACTCTCTTTGCTCCCTCTCCTCCAGCCCACATCTCCCACTCAGTCCAGAAGGTTATCTCTACCTGATGCCAAGGCTTCCTCTGCCCCACCTCCCCTCCCTCCTGCACAGTCCTGCCATCTGTCTCCCCCCTCTCCCCAACTCCTGGTCCTTCATCAGGGTCCAGCCCTGAGTCTTGGCTGTGGTAGCGTGTGACGTGGTTCTTGAGGCTGACGTTGTGGTTGAAGCTCTTGTCGCAGCGCTGGCATTGGAAGGGCCTCTCCCCAGTGTGGACACGCAGGTGGGACTTCAGCTGGCTGAGCTGGGCAAAGGCACGCTGGCACACCTGGCACCCAGGAAAGAGCAACATGGACCATGTAAATACAATAATTCTGGTTTAAATAAAAATGTGAAGCTTCTTGTTTATAGTAAATAGCCCTCTTCAAAATAAGTAATTGAAACAGACACTTCAGTTGCATGTAATTGAAACCCTGCCCCTCCCTCCAGACCTGGCACTTGAAGGGCTTGTCGTCACTGTGGGACAGCTCATGCCTCTCCAGGAGGTGACCTTTGGCGAATTCCTTGTAACATGTGTGGCAGATGTGTCTCTTGGACTCATGCTCTCTGAGATGGCGATTCCGTATGAGGATGTTGTCAAACTTCAGTGGGCACTCTGAGCAGCTGTAGCATCTGTGACCTTTTAATCTTTTGAATCTGTGGGTCTTCTCGTGGGTCAGCTTGTCCGGCCGCGTCCTGAAGGATTGGAGGCAGAACTTACAGGGAAACTTAAGGTCCTGACGGTGTAGCCTCCGGTGCTGCTTGAGGCCGAGTTCACTCGCACAACCCTGCCCACAGTCTGGACAGCGGACCACGAACTTGTGTTCACACTTATGGTGTTTCAGCCTGGTGGTGTACAGGACGCCACATTCAGGACAGAGGACCATATTATGTTTTTTTGAGTATTTGAATTTCTGCCGGATGCTGGCAACGTTTCCAGAGCCCAGTTCTCCAGCGGCACCGCTGAACGACTCCTGGTCCTGCTGGTCTCTCTGGGGTGATGATGAAGATGATCCATCAGAGTCTTCAGCAGACACGTCCAAACCACTCTCTCCTGTAGGCTGCTGCAATTGCCTTCCTCCTCCTCCTCCTCCTCCGCTCCCCCCTCTCCCCCTGCCTCTCCCCCTGCCTCTCAACCTACTACCCGTTGGTTTCTTCTCTTCTGGGTCAAAGTCAGAGTCACTCTCTATCAGTCCCTCTTCCTTCTCCTCCTCCTCTGGGTCAAATTCAGAGTCATTCTCTCTCTGTCCCTCTTCCTCATCTGTCTCTTCACCCTCCATCTCACACTCACCACCCTCCCCCTCACACACATCTGCAGCCACCTGCTTCTTCTCTCCTTCTCTGTCTATCTGAGAGGTTTGGCTTTCAGAGTCCTCAGGCTCTATAGAGTATATTGTCACCTCAATAGAGGCCTGCTGCTCAGCACCATTCTCCTGTTGTTTACCTCCTAGGGACTTTCCCTTTCTCTCCTCTCCTCCCTCATTCTCCTGTGAGGACAGGCCATTCTCCTCCTGGCTTTGTGCACTGTCCGTCTCACTGTCCAACACCAGGTCATTCTCCTCCTGGCTTTGTGCACTGTCCGTCTCACTGTCCAACACCACCTCAGTTACTTTCATGCTCTCCTCTGCTCCTTTGTTCCCCTCCTTCTTCTCCCTCACCAAGGACGTACCACTTCCCCCTGGTCTTGGTGGCTGGTCTACAGTCACCTCCATCTGCAAAGAGCCAGTCAGCTCCAGGGCCCCATCTGTGTCCTCAGACGGCAGGGCCCCATCTGTGTCCTCAGACGGCAGGGCCACCTGCATGTCAGCCACCTTAGCGAAAGAAAACACCAGTATTATTGGAGTGACAGTTCTGTATAAAAAAAATAACTAGAGATTTTTTATTTATTTATTTTTTTACATTTTTTTGTCATTTAGCAGACGCTCTTATCCAGAGCGACTTACAGTTAGTGAGTGCATTCATTTTTTATTTTTTATTTTTTCATACTGGCCCCCCGTGGGAATCGAACCCACAACCCTGGCGTTGCAAACGCCATGCTCTACCAACTGAGCTACATCCCTGCTGGCCATTCCCTCCCCTACCCTGGACGACGCTGGGCCAATTGTGCGCCACCCCATGGGTCTACCGGTCACGGCCAGCTACGACAGAGCCTGGATTAGAACCAGGATCTCTAGTGGCACAGCTAGCACTGCGATGCAGTGCCTTAGACCACTGCGCCACTTGGGAGATACCACAGAGATACCACAGAATACAAATAACTGAAGTTAGTTATTTCACAATATCAACTGTTAATCCTTAAATACCCACCTGGGTGTTCTGTGGCTCCTCCCCATTTCCTCTGTGTGTCTGGACAGCAGACACGTTGCTTGCCCATGTCCTGAGGTGGTTGCAGCTCTGGCAGTGTTGGGTCACAGAGAGGCACGTCCTGTCTCCCTGCGTCTGGATCACACTCTCACGCATGCACTGCTCACACCACTGAAACAGCTGCAGCAGGCAGTCAATGTTCACTATAATATCTTCTGGGGAGGGAGGGGGGGCAGCAGCTTGTGGAGGGGGGGCAGCTAACCTGGGTCAAATACAAAAAAAGAGCAGGTGCTATTGGCTCTTGCCAATTCATACTCATTAGCATATTTAGAAGAGACAGAGTCCTGAAGAGACAGTCATTCACATTATCATGCAATTTTATCTTATAGGAACATGCGTTGATTAAATATTTCAATAATAAGAGTCCCCTACACCCACGTAGTCTATTGAAAACTAAGTGGTGCAGTGCTCTGTAGTCTCTCGGAACAGGATAATCGTTTTTCCAACATGCATGTGAGATTTGGATGCCTAGATTAGGCTGGCTTCTGTAGAAAGTTTTAAAAATATACCCCAGTATTTGTGAGTTAGAGACCTCTCTAACACCCAGGAAGCTCTGATTCAAACTCCCTTTCACCAGCTCTGCAAGCGTTATGTCAAAATACGTTCGTTCCTCTCCAAATATGGAGTTTTGCTGAGCAACTATCTTCATTTACTCCTGTTATGGTCGGTCTGTACTTTCAAAAAAGGTCTAAATAAAAATGCCTCTTCGGCACCTCCAATTTATGAAAGAGCCACTGAACACACCGATTGGCACATTTATTTTTCTGTTGCTCATTAGAAAAACAAGATTTCAGTCTTGGAGGTGTGTTTCCTGACCGAGGGAGGGGGGCCAGAGGAGTGTGTGTGTGTGTGTGTTGAGTACAGTCATTGGTGTTGAGAGAGCGCTGCACAGGAGCCTACTAGAGCCAGCACAGCAAGGGAGTGAAACTGAGAAATAGCCTGATCATACAACAGTTTCAGAGAGAGGGAGAGAGGATCGAACAATGTGCTTTCACTCTGGGCATGTAGACAGGGCTCGAAATGAATATGTCTGGGACGGTTCAAATACTCTGGGACAGTTCTGGGCAGACGCGGAGCTGTTCCTGGAGATGTTAAGAAAAACATTTGTCAACGATGTACGAAAAAACCAAAGGAAAAACTTTCTTTAACACTTTAAAACATGGCGAAAGTTATATACAATGTGATATATTACATTATTTAATTAAATCCTGGAATTGGTCTGAGCTGGTGTTGCTTATTTTATAAAGCAATGTACAGAGCGTCTGCTAAATGGCATATTATATTATTATTATACAGCTGTGTCTGTTGCTCTCCCCCTTGAGGGGCCGCCTGGCCTGGGACTTGCGGCTGCTGCTGGTGGGGGTCTGTCATATTTGATTAAAGGGTAGCCTACCATGTCTGTTGTATGAGCTCAACATCGTCAGGTCAGGTCATGTCTAGCTAGCTACATTCAGGTTAAACATTTATAGAAAGTTTGTACATATATTTGTACATAGTTCGTTCAAGTGTTGGGATTATTATTTAGTTCTATTGAAGGCATGACGATAGAATTAACAAATGGACTAGATTACATTAAACTACAACATGGCTACATCGGCTGAGCAGAGACAACCTGGTAAGTGAAACATCCTTTTTTTTTTATTGGGCTTTGGTTAAGACAAAAGCAGTCAGAATGTTATTACAGGCCCTTTTGCGTATCACCTATAGACAGGCTGTGTGTGTATGTGACACTGCCTGCCTCGTGTTGCTTACGATGAGCCTGTTTTGTAGTTGTAGTCCTCCGGGTCTACTTTATATTTGAATGCCTATTTGTCTGCTAAACGAGCGCTTCATGCGTTGCGATGAGTGGTTTTGATGACTCTCCGTTTGGGTGCTGCTGTCCATGGTGCCGACTACCTGCGGAGCGCTCCCGGCCTCCGCGCTTTGTAGAGCGACTTGTGCTGAAACATTGTATTGCGATTCGCGGCCGACTGGCAACCTGTTTTGGAGTTTTTTGTGTCTGGCAAAGTGATACGCTATCTGTATGTTTTATTGGAAATAGGCTTTCATGGCTCAATATGTAATGATGCCTAATTTGCGTTTATGAATGCCATACCGCCTGGTATGGCAACTGCTCCGCATCTGACATAAGGCGCTACAGAGGGTAGTGCGTACGGCCCAGTACATCACTGGGGCCAAGCTTCCTGCCATCCAGGACCTATATACTAGGCGGTGTCAGAGAAAGGCCCAAACAATTGTCAAAGACTCCAGTCACCCAAGTCATAGTCTTCCTCATAGACCTCCCCTCCCCTCCCTTTGTTTTTACACTGCTGTTACTCGCTGTGTATTATCTATGCATAGTCACTTTACCCCTACCTACTAACTGTAAGTCGCTCTGGATAAGAGCGTCTGCTAAATGATAAAAATGTAAATGTAAATGTACAAATTACCTCGACTAACCTGTATTGACTCGGTACCGGTACCCCCTGTATATAGCCTCGTTATTGTTATTTTAGTGTTACTTTTTATTTATTTTTAATTTTGTTTTACTTTAGTTTATTTAGTAAATATTTTCTTACCTCTTTCTTGAACTGCATTGTTGGTTAAGGGCTTGTAAGTAAGCATTTCACGGTAAGGTCTACACCTGTTGTATTCCGCACATGTGACAAATAACATTTGATTTGATAGCTGATATGGCCTATCATTTTTTTATTTTTATGATTTGGTTAGAAAGGCCCCTTGAGACCGCCCCGCCCCCTCTGTGCTGAGACCCTAGCTCCACGCGGTTCTGGGACAATAGATCCAAAATTCATACAACTACTGTACATAAAAATATATATTAAGCAATGAGGCTAAAGCAACAGATCAGAACGTTTGGCTGAAAATGTTGATGAACTCATTTCTTCACATTATAATCGCAGCAATGCGCCCACAGCAGTAGTCTACGCGCAAATGTTCGCAAGAGGTAATGGCCTTTCTCTCAGCTCTTGTGACCATTTGATCTGAAAGAACCGTGCCTCGAGTATGTCAACAGAATCAAGCCTTTAGACGTTAATGTTAATTATCCTACATTATACTTGTCAAACATGACTGGCGTTTAGCCTAAAGGGTGAATTCGGAAAGAGTGGGACATCATAAACTGACACAGCTTAATTCTGACGCATTTATTTATTGGTCTGACATGAGAAAATCAAAACTATTGTTAAGCCCTTGCAGAGAAACCACACGATCAAAATCACATCACTTCATTGGTGTGACATCATAGAGGGGGGCAGAGCAAGCTTCAAACAGGAAGCTCACCCCGCAAAGCACATAGTGACATAGCTTTTTTTCATTTTTTGATGTTGAGGTTATAAAATTGTCTAATATTGCACTGTGCCAAATGTTGATGTAAATGTTCATATTATGTAGTACTGCATCAAAATACATAAAGAAGTTACCAATATTATGTTTCAGTTTTGAAATGCAGTCTTTTTTGTTGTCCCACTGTACCAACCATAGCTAGCTAAAGTAGGACAGCATGGAGTAGGTCAAGTAGGACAGTCTTGTAGGCTTTTCCAATGGGGGAAAGAGATACAGTTTACATTAGGGACCCCCTGTATTCGTTAGGCAGGGCTCTGGTTATTGTAGTACTATATCCTGTAAAAAAAATGTGTAGTACTGTTATTAGTACTGTTAATTGAGTATTCATACTCAGTATGAAAAAAATGTATGCACTCACTAACTAAGTCGCTCTGGATAAGAGCGTCTGCTAAATGACTAAAATGTAAATGTATTCAGAAAAAGTGGGACACTTTTTGCATTTTGCAAACTGGGACACCATTATAGTCGTAATTGTACCCCAATTGGCTATTATCCCAACACATGACACGTTTCAGAAATCTTCAGATGTTTCCTAATCACACAATGTTATTGTCATTGGGGTACAATTAGGACTATAATAATGGGGTCCCAGTTTATCTAACCTGCTGTCCCAGTCTACCAAATGCCAACAAAAAATATGGCTTTGACTCAGTGTAGCCAAAATGGGTGTGTCATGCATCCTGTTAACATATCAACAAAGAAAATGTGTGTGTGATTTAGGAAACATCTTGAGGATTTCAGAAATGTATCACGTGTTGGGATAATATGTTGGATAGATGTCTAAAGATGGAAATGCAAAAAGTGTCCCACATTTTTTGTCTAGTTTTCAGGCCTTGTGGGCGGGGTTTTGGGTTGTCATTTGTTTTGAATTTTTAGGTAGACCTGGCAACCCTGGTAGGCTAAACTGGTAGACTGCAGAAAAAACACCCGAATTACCTGTCAAGCAAAAACAAAGCCACTTCGGCATCTGTAGGCATAGATTTCTCCTCCTTGAGGTCCCTCCATCTGGTAAAAGCTTCCCCAATATTAATCCGATTTCTGGATTTGTCCTTTAATTTTCTCCACTCAGAATCTCGATCGGGTTTCTTCTTCGGTGGTAAAAAGGGTGTAAAGATTATATTGTTGTTATTATTGGCCATGATTGTAAATGAAATGTATTAGGGACGGGTGTAACGTGGGCTTTCCTTAAGAATCTCTGCGTTTCACTTCTTCTTCTTCTGCTTCTTCTTCTTCTTCTGTGGGGTTTAAGGGCGGTTGGCATCCAATCAGCGCAGTACCGCCACCTACTGTGCTGGAGTGTGTGCCAGAGACCGAAAGGAACTAAATCCTACCTGCCAGCCCCGTTTCTCTTGGGACACACTGTCTGAATCCGAAATCACCCCCTTCCCCTCGCCCCTCCATTTGCGAGTTCAAACGCGCCTCCAACATTTGCATAAGCGTCCCAAAACTGAGGGAGTGAAAATTATAGAGAATGTAAGGCAGAGTTCCCCAACTGGCAGGCCATTCGGCCCGCTGGTGGTTTTATTTGGGCCCCAAGTTTTTCTCCCAAATTAAATGTTAAACTGTTAATGCGTTTTATATATTGTAAAAACGACAGGGGGGATTCTTTCATTAGAATTTTATGCTCATTCTATTAATTAAAAGTGGAACATGAATTGCATAAATCGGCAGTGTGTCCCGAAGTTGATGGGTTTATTGATCCCATCGCCACTCTCTGGAAGTCACCCTTGGAGTTTCGTCAGCAACAAGTGACA